TTAGCTTTCTTCACCGTCTGAGAACAGCAGGTGAATATGTGCTTGAAGAGACCCTAGTGTGGCTGGCATCCCAGGAAGTTTTCGCACATTAAGACAAACGCGGCAAGATAAAATATCGTGTTAGGAGGAAAGTGGTGGATCTGGACACCGAAGAAGTTCAAAAATCCTCGAAAGAATGGGTGTGGGGGCAGAGAAAAACCTCGCTCGACATGGGTGGTGAGAAGAACGCAATCACCCTTGCACGGGTGGGGCTCAGATTCATTCCCTAGCAGCATCCAAGCCCATGAGCAATCAGGCCATCATGGGCAAGATTATCCAAGTCATCCTTCACGGCGGTGGAGCGGATCCAGTCCCCCTGGATCCAACCATGTGGCAGACCGGACCGCGACGACGAAGCCCTCGTCGTCTTCTTGCCCTTTGCCACCACCATCACCTTCTTCGCGTGCTCCAGGGCCACAGTCTTTTCCTTCACCATTGCGGTGGAGCTTGAGAGGGCCGAGCGGAGGCGTGGAGAGCAGGGACAAGCGAGGCGGAGAAGAAGAGAGAAAGGAAATCGAATGGAGTGCATAGTGCCTCGCTTCGGCCTTAGCGCTTTTTATCGGGATGCTTCCGAGTGGCTGACCCATGGGCCCGAGCAATCTTATCGCATCTCGTCATAGGCGCTGGCTTGATACGTGGCGAAAAAGGCGGCGCAAAAATTGAGGAGTCCCTATCTGCTCGTTCCGTTTACTGCGCCGCGCCCCGTCCTGCGCGCTTCTCCGAAATTTCGAATCTCGCGAGATCCGGAGACCGCAGGGCATTCAATCGCGTCAAATATTTCACGCTCTGATTCACTCGAAGATTTACTAAATAATTCACTCGGCGATCTTAGCAACCAGAATCAATCAAGGCGACTGAAGCAGGGTTAAAATACCAGTGTGCTTTCCAGATTTCTATAAAATGCCTCCGAAGCATGGAATCAAATCCGAACCAACTTCAACCCTTCTTCACTCGGACCTCAATCCATTCGGGGGCTAATTATGATGACATGTACCTGGGGTAGGGTCTTAGGCCTGACCTAGACACCCTACCCAAGGACACTGCCCTAGAGTCAAAGACATTTAAAGTCGAACAGTGGGTACCAACTGAAATCACCTTGAAGTGCAATCCACTCGACATAAGATTCCACTCAGATACCCCAACTTCACTCGACCACAATAGAGTCACTCGACCATATGAAGAATCACTCGGAGTACAGAAGATCTAAAGCCACCCCAGGATGGCAATGGTCATGCGTTCACTCTGTAGTCATAAAGATCATTAATAGATGGCGTTACCAGTAACGCCCCTGTCTTAACTCACATTGAACCATGTGTAACTAAGGACCGCGAGGGTCCTGGCGCATTCTATATAAGCCACCCCCTCCTCAGGCACAAGGGTTCGCACCCCCTGTAACTTCCACGCATAATCCACTCGACAAGCCTCCGGGCACCGAGACGTAGGGTTGTTACCTCCTCCGAGAGGGGCCTGAACTCGTAAACTTGCGTGTACAACCTCGTCGTAGCTAGTACCTTGCCTCCTCCTACGTACCACCTACTCTTACTGTCAGACTCACTCCCACGACAGTACGTGCCACTTGTTGGGCTATTGTGTGCACGTAGCTGGTGATTCTATTTTATTGATGAGTTAGCAGACAAGCAAAGAGTTGTCATGACTTTAATATATATTTTTCCGTCCCAAAATAAGTGTCTCAACTTTGTACTAACTTTGGTATAAAGTTATACTAGAGTTGAGACACTTACTTTGAGACAGAGAGAGTATATGGTATTACTTGTCATGACTTTATCATGTCGCGGTGAGGAATGGCGTATCGGCTTGCCAAATGCGTATTGTACTTCTGTTTTATGGTGTGCTGAAGCCGCAAAGCGACACAAGCAGACCAAACGGGCTCACACCTCAGCGAGAGCACGAGCGGCTCAGCGAGAACGCTGCTGCATATGTGAAAAAAAAACACCAAATAGATCCCTAGTCCCGTCTATGAGACTAAAAGCAAGTACAATAAGATGACGTAGACGAGCTGTAAGCCTTTGAATATTATATTTTGAATGAGTTGGAGGAGAGAGTGAAGGAGAGAGAGGAGGAGAGAGAGGAGAGAGAAGGGAAGCGGGGCTACTGATTAACAGCTGGCTGTAACACGCGCTTCTAGGCATATTGTGAGAGAGTGAGATGGATCATATATTAAAAAACTAGTACATATTTATATGTAACTATTGTACTTGCTGGCTATAAGTTGGCTATAGATGATGTGGGAAGACCATATAACCAGCAACTGACTATACTATTAACCATACTCTAAATCATGTGTTGCATGATGATTCTTTTTTACTGCTCATAGGGCATTGTTAGCTTGGAGAGTTAGGTCCGGGCGATGGATACAAATCCCTTGAAAGTTAGCTCGAAAAACCTCCTCGAGTTCTTCCCAACTGTCAATTGAATTTGCGGGCAAGCTACTAAACCAATGTCTTCCCAGTCCTCTAAGCCTTAAAGGCAGATATTTGACGGCGTGAAGGTTATCACCTTGAGCCATATTAACGCGTATGAGGATATTCTTAATCCACACCGTCGAATCCGTGGTCTCATCTTATGATTCGATATTAACGGGTTTAAACCCAATAGGGAATGGATAATGCACTACTAGAAAAATCCCTAATACAGACGCGGCTGGTGGCCAATAGCAGTAGCGCTGGCCCATCAGCACCATTATGGAGATTCTATCTATCTATCTATCTATCTAGATAGATAGATAGATAGATATAGATATTGATAGATAGATGGAAACGCTTACAGTTAGTACGTCTAGCCCTAGCCGGAGACCATGCAATGCCATGCGTTGGACCAAAATGCGAAGAGATAACTGCTCATATCATGTTCAGTTTCTCTTCTTTCTCTCGATCGATCGATCGCAACCTCGATCATCATGAACACATAATTAAGGGCCAATTCTTTTGGGCGCTTAAATATTAAGCTGCCTCCCCTCAGTTTAAAAAATAAGCCATCTTTGAAATTTATTGAGACTTCTAAATTAGTTATTTCGTAACTACTCCCTCCGTTCTTAAATATAAGTCTTTGTAGAGATTTTACTATGAACCACATACGGATGTATATAGATACATTTTAAATGTAGATTCATCCATTTTGCTTCGTATGTAGTCCACCTAGTGGAATCTCTACAAAGATTTATATTTAGAAACGGAAGGAGTAGTTTAGAAGTCCGGATGAATAAGGGAGACTGCTTATGGAAAAAGCTGGGAGGGGGCGGCTTATTTTTAAGCTGTCAAAAGACCGGGGCCTGGCTAAAGAAAAGGAAAGATCTTGTTTGATTACTGCTGCCATTGGTGAAAGATCTCCTTCCTATCCTGCATTGCATGATTATTGTTGCATTGCTTCGCTGTTGCCCCGTGCTCTATTTCTCGTCTGAATCCTTGCAGTAGATACTAACTGCTGCGTTCGTCTCCTTCCTATCCTGCCGATCAACAAGTGCAACGCATATGTGCAGCCCAAGCGGAGGCGGCCCGGTTCGCTATAAAGTTCACCTGGAACCGACCCAGCAGGCTTGCACATATCTTCTTCTTGCAGTTCCATCGGCATGCGTGCGTGTGTGTGACTTGGTGTACTCTACGAAGTGGTGGTATAGCGCGAGACAGAATAGAGAGAGCGATATGGGGAGCGGCGGGTTGTTGTTGCCGACCGTGGTGATGCTGGCGCTCAACGTGTTGTCGGCGGTGATGGTGGCGCTGGTCAAGGTGGCCATGGCCGGCGGCCTCGACCCGCTCGTGCTCGTCACGCTGCAGCAGCTCGCCGCCGCCATCTTCCTCGGCCCCATCGCGCACTGGAGAGAGGGGTGAGTGAGTCCACACGACATCATCCATACATAGCCTTTTTCTCATCTTCGGTTGATTGGTCTCATCCATCAGCAAGTCGAGGCCCAAGATGACGCTCGAGATCTTCGCCCACCTCTTCATCAGCGCCGCGCTCGGGTACTCTTTCTTTCCTTGATCAAATCTTCTCTGTTCGATCTTCGAACTAAGTAACAACGGCTGGATCATTTCTTGTACTACTACACCATCTTGCATGGTGGCAGGGCGGCGATGAGACAGTACACGGTCTTCGTGGGGCTGCGCTACACCACGGCGACCTTCGTCAGCGCCTTCTCCAACATCGCGCCTGTGCTCACCTTCGTGCTTGCCGTCGCCACCCGCTCCGAGTCGCTCCACCTCAGGGCCGCCACCGGCGCCGCCAAGCTCGCCGGCACGCTCGTCTCGCTCGCCGGCGCCATGCTGCTCACCTTCTACAGAGGCGTGGCCCTCACCCACGCCAACAGCGCCCACCAGCTCCACCGCCCCCCTTCTTCCCCACCGTCCCCGGCAACCGACTCCGGCAGGCTGTGGACGCTGGGAACGGTGGCGATCCTCGGCAACTGCGTCTGCCTCGCCTGCTGGTACCTGCTTCAGGGCAGGATCGCCAGGAAGTACCCCTACGTCTACTCCTGCAACGCCTTCCTGTCCACCTTCAGCTTCCTCCAGGTCGCCGTAGTTGGCCTCTGCGTGCAGCGCAACCTCTCCGCCTGGATCATCACCGACAAGCTCCAGATCATCACCGTCCTCTACTCCGTAAGTAACCAACCAACCAGCCCTCATACGTATATGCTTCTGAAATCTGAATTGCTTGCTACAATATGCAGCTGGCTTGCCACTGATTTTGCCTGAATAAATTCAGGGCGTGGTCGCGACCGGCATGTCCTTCGTGCTGCTGACGTGGTGCATCCAGAAGTGGGGGGCTGTGTTCGTGGCCGCCTTCATCCCGGTGTCTCAGGTCATCGTCTGCATCATGGACTTCACTGTCCTGCATGAACCGCTCTACCTTGGAAGGTGCAAACACACTGCACCTATAGAGATTCATGCATGTGTCTGTTTACCCATGGCATGATTGGCATCTGAAACTTATGCTTTGCAAACGTGTATGCATGCATGCAGTGTGGTGGGATCTGTGATTGTGATAAGTGGCCTGTATCTTCTGCTGTGGGGCAAGAGGCAGGAGGCCTTGCAACAGCATCCAAGAGTTGCTAAAGATGACCAAGAACAACAGCAGCAGCAGCAATTGCAGTCGCAGCCATGACTCAAGATTGGAAGACAGAGATCCACCATTTGGTGATGTGTTAACATGTGCAGCAAATAAGTTCTTCAATAATTTTTGCATGTTCTAGCAATTATTATGATCACCGTTCTGGTGCAAATTAGGCTCCAAGATGCTATCATTCATGAAGCTGTTTAGGCTCTAATCCAAACAACAGTAGGGTGACAATATGTACACTATTACCGTGTTTATGGAGAAGTGTATTTTGTGGGGACATATATATGTACTTCCTCCGTCTGAAAAAATTTGTCCCTCAAATCAGATGAAGTAATATGTTAACTTCAATTCTGTTATCTTTCCTATCCTACTTCTAAAGATTTGAATTGGTGGTGAGTTCACTCGCCTTCATCCTCCTACTCTAACACGTGGGGGACCTCCACAAAGCAACAACAGCCAAATAAAAAAAATAACTTATATCCCGTCTCTCCTTCACGACTTGCCGTCCGTCGCCTCCAATCCCCCGTCTTCTGCAGAAAATCCACAATCATCGTTCTCCGACCGCGCCTCTCCACTCCAATAGCTGTCCATCGGCGTTGGAAAATTTGAATCTTCGTCTCTCACATGGATGTTGCAGACCACAGACGCCTCCCCTCCCCACCTTCTACCACCCACCACCGCTCATGCCCGCCACCATCATTTGTACTCCGCCACCGTCGCTTCTGCGGCTCGTCAGCTACCTCTGTCTCCTCCACGCCGGCTCCGGAAAGGAAGAAAACGTGCCCCTCTCCTATCTCCTCTTATTTTCAAGCAGTGAAGGTGAAGCATAGGGGAGCAAGAGACAAGTGTCTGGCCGTTGGGAGGGGTATGTTCCACTACCGGACAGAGGGAGCACGGAGAATGGAGAAGATTCCTCTGATGTGGCCGCCGCGCCGACACATCTGCCAGGGGGCGGTGGGAGGAGGCCTGTG